TGTTCAGTTGGACCGGAGATGATAAAATCCCTACATTTCGTGAGGGAACAGTTCAACCACAAAGAGGTGAACCTCGCCCCATCTTTGCTTGTGAATGACTGAGCAATTCCGGGAGGCTCCTTTTATACCCACTCATGGCACCCATCTGTTCCCAGTTAGCCTGTTCACCTGGAGGAAGTTCCAAACAGGTGTTTGATGAGCATTTCTCAACTTTCTTTCAGCCACAAAATTCCAAGTAAAGAATTACTTGCTAAAGCAATTTATCAGTTTGAACATGAAATATCTTGTCTTTGTAGTGTCCTCAATTAAGTATAAGGTGAACATGATTTGCAAATCATAGTTGACTGTTTTTTCTTTGTTTAACCCAATGTCCCAAGTCTGAATTGGGTTTGTATTAGAATTAAGATTTCGCTCCACTCATCAATGACACAAAAGTGATGAAGGGGCTGGGCATTCATCATCATGCTAATTATGACGTTGTTCAATTCAGCTTTATTTATTTATTTCAGTTTTGAAGTTAGCTTTCTTTAATGATTTAATAATTTATTGCATTCAGGGTTTGGGGTTTGGGGGCGGGTTCTATATTATAACTGTCAACACTGTCTATAAAGGTTGTCAAATGACATTTTGTGGTCATTTTGTATCGATGAATTTATCTTGGGCCCCCAATTTGTGGCTGGCCTGACACATAAACACAAACACACACACACACACACACACACACACACACACACACACACACACACACACACACACGTTTATTCCACAAATCATGCCAAGAATCGTTTTCTTATTTTTAAAGGGGTATATATTTGTGATGAGTTTCAATGATAAAGCCTACAACAGAAACAACGAATCCGCAATTTGACACCTGGTCAGATAAACAAACCAAAACAAAAACAAAACAAAAAAAAAAAAACAGCAAACACTAAACCTGTCAAGGAGGCAGTCACATTCTGATCAAGAGGAAAGGGTCGGTTCCTATGGCAACAGTAGGCATCTTACCTGTATGCTGCTTGCAGCTGCTGCTTTTGCTCAAATCTAAAATTGGCGAGGGTAGACTCCTGTTGAGTGGGGGTGGAAGTGGAAGGGGGCATTCGGAACGATGGAGATAAGGTCCGAGGAGGACAGATGGAGCACACAGAGGAAAGAGATAACGTTGTATCACAAAGAAAAAGTGATGTAAGGGAAGGGGGGCCGGGTTCATCACCTGGCCCCTTGGTGTTTGTCTGCTATTTGGAGTTTGCGAGTCCACTTGGTATGATGGATTTAATTTATTGATAGCGTGTTGTGTGCCACTGGGTATTTGTCAGGCTTTGTGTGAATTTTATTTGTGTGTGTGTGTGTGTGCGTGTGCGTGTGCGTGTGCGTGTGCGTGTGCGTGTGCGTGTGTGTGTGTGTGTGTGTGTGTGTGTGTGTGTGTGTGTGTTTGGACTGTGCTTTATATAAAAAGAGTGTTTAACCCAAACCCTCAACTGGTTGGGACGCCACACTCAGTATTCCTAACAGTCAAACAAGTATGAAGAGAAGTTAATGGAATAACTAAAATAAAGCAAAAGTACTCACCCTTTGAAGATGCCTAACCAGTTTGCAGAGCCTGTTGGTCACCCTGTGGCATTTCATCGACACTGTTGGAATTAATCTTAATGTGTTTTCAAAGCAGAGTTCCACATTTATATACCATAGCGCACGTAAACAAACTCTGAGTGCGAAGTGCCTAAATGTAGTCACCGTTAAAGAGCAAGTTTCATTTCAGGTCGTAAGAACATTTCCATTCGCAATTTAGCAGCTTTAAACATCAAAATGAATTGTTATTCCTCTTCAGGAACGTTATCTCCCAATTGAAAGATGTCTTATTTTACTTAGGTAAGCTAATTTGAGACCACTGTCCTTTAGTCTCCTGTTTAGCAGGTAAAAATACATGTTCAATTAGGTTTTAGTCCAGACAGTGACTTTCCTGCCAGTTTGGTGGCGTCTCTCACAGCAACATGCACTCATGGCTCACGAAGAAAAAAATATGCCCTTACGCACTGTTCAGTAAGAATTTAGTGAGGCAGAGGGGGTAAAATTCGGTACACTGGAACGTGATTGCCAACCCCACTGACTCAAACAAACGCCTCGTCTATTCCTGCCACCATTAGTTGTAAATGTGAAAGTAAAATAGAAAGTCTTTACAGTCGTTGTATGGTGCAGATACAGAGGGCATTGTGTTAAAAAAATAAATACAGTACTATACTACACAAGACGGCTGCCCGGTAGTCCAGTGGCCAGCACGTCGACTTCACAGTACAGAGGTACCGGGTCCAATTCCAGCTCCGGCCTCCCTGTGTGGAGTTTGCATGTTTTCCCCGGGCCCTGCGTGGGTTTTCTCCGGGTACTGCGGTTTCCTCCCACATTCCCAAAAACATGCATGGCACGCTGATTGAACACTAAATTGACCCTAGGTGTGAGTGTGGGCGTGGATGGTTGTTCGTCTCTGTGTGCCCTGCGATTGGCTGGCAACCGTTCAAGGTGTCCCTCGCCTACTGCCCGAAGACAGCTGGGATAGGCTCCAGCACCCCCCGCGACCCTAGTGAGGATGAAGCGGTTTGGAAAATGAATGAATGAATACTACACAAGACTAACTTATGCAGTAAAGTACAGTGGTGGTTTCTGGCAGTTGTGCTGTTGTGGCTTGCATTTTCTTTTCTTTTTTTTCTTTTTTTGTGTGCAGGTATTTTGGTAAATAACATTCAAATGACAAGTCAAGATATTACTTTTTTGTAATGCATCATTTCAAACTTCATTAACGGAAAGTGGCTGTGAATATCGAGATGCAATAAATGTCAGCCCGGTAGTGAGATTGGATTCGCAATGAGACCCCAGTCTGAGCAGGATTGGGCTGTGGATCAAACCTGCTGGCAGACACAACAGCGCTGCCGAAAATGTCTCTCTCTTCCAGCCTGTCTCTCATCTCCCGTCGCAGAGGCTATTTTTAGTGCCTGGCATCCGCCAACCCTGCCAGCCCCTACCGCACACGCCACGCATCTCAATCTTCCCTCCTCCAAATTCATCCCCTTCACGGCTCCCCGACCTCGGGCCGCCATTATGACCCGCCGAATGAACCCAACGTACGCCCTGAGTGATCCGTTCTGATCCCAGTGTTGGCGTCCCCTTTCCCTCCTCGCAACCTCCTTCTTGAGCTCTCCAACGGAGCTTGGAAGATTTGCCGCGTCTTTGGAGACGCGTTGTCTGCCATCATCTTCCATGACCGTCATCCACAGGCCACTCTACCCAAATGTTTCGTGTCGCTGGGAGTTTTGATCATCCCGTGTTCCTTTGTGGAGCTGGTTAGGGAACTTTTTGATGTCTGACTCAGATTAGCAGTGGAGGCAAGCCAGAGCCCGGGCCCTGTTGGAGTGAAGATTCTACTCCAGATTTCAGATGAATTTGGCAGGAGAAAGTCTGCCCTCATCAGACCGTGACCACCAGAGCGCCAACACCTCTCGGTCACGGCGGTGCCCTTGAAGTCACACACTTACAGCTCTTCTGTAAAGTGGACGCCATGCCGACAAGCAACCTTCACGAAGCTCGGCGGGCTTCGGGTGCTGATTACTTAATTTATTCAGCTAACACAAATGGCAGTTTCTCGAGACTGTAGTACCATTTTGAATACTGAAGAACAGAAATATGGGTCTAGTAAAATGCAGAGGGGGCCACATTTGAAGATATTCCGAACATATGAACTTTCTGCGATGAAGTAGTTTCCGTAGCCACATTAAGAATACATGGACATACCGGTCAAGAAATTGAATCATTTTTACAATAATTATGACTGTACTACTGCATTGGTTTAATGATGGACTACAGCAAAGCACAATTTCGGGTTACATGGCTTTTGTTGAATCTGCATCGTAAACACTCCGCCATTGTGCAGAATCAAGAAGTTCTAACGAGACACCCAGGAAGTGATGTCATCCTCCAGCCTTACCGTGACATGCATTTCTATCCATGACCTCACCTCACATGATCCTTTCAACAATCAAACATTTTTGCATTTTTCTTTTGAAAAGTTACTGCATTTTGAACAAAGTTGCGTTGAACAATGTTTACTTGAGGTCAATAAAATGATGTTGTATGTTACATGCTTTAAAATAGTGGCCTGCGCCAAAACAACCATAGGCTAGAGCCCAGGGCATGGAGAAGCGTGAGCAGCTATCGTGATAAAAGTATTTTCACCCATGGAGGTAGCACTTCATACACGACATACACAAGTACTGCCACAGCTACACGTCAACAATTTCACCAAGCATCAAGTTTGTGCTGCTTATCAGTTGCTAATGTTGTTCACAATCACTAATCTTTGCATCCAACAAATTTCAACACTACACTTGCTTTGGCCTCACAGCATGAATCTCGCCCGTAAGAGTTTGAGGTGGTTTTTACATGATCGTATTTCAGACAGTGTTGTCTGGGAGACAGATGTTAGCAGTCACTTGAAAGTGGCTCTGGCTTATCACCTCGCCTTGCTGTCATGGGCTGAAACTCGAATGTATTACTGTATGTAAGTGAGCCCCAGGATTATGTTGAAACATTTTCGCATATAGAAAGCCAAGAAAATACGTCCTTGGTTTCATTTTGCATGTCAATTTACCATCATTCTCGATGTCCAAAACTGTCATGCTTCATTTTCCATAAAATACCTTGTCACTCTGTCACATGACATGTTTGTACAGTGTCCCCCATCACTGTTTCAACATGTATTGCATTGAATTGCCACCCTTATGAGATCCTTTTCTGGGAGGGGTCGGGGTCCTCAGCAGCAACCTCTCGGTCATTGCACATCACACTACTCCTCCTGTGTTCTGTGATGCTGATTATATTCTTGCATGGATGACAGAATATAACCATGACCCTTTCTCTCTCTCCTTGCTAACCCACCTCCAGGAGTCGGGGCGGATATAGGCACTGCTATATCTCCTCTCATCAGCCTGTCTTTTCACTCTTTCTTTTCTGCACAGGAGAATGCCATTTCATACTACGATTCCAAAGCGGATTCAGACTTGGTGAGTACAGAATGGACTGCTTCACCCCCCCTCCCTCATCCCCTCTTCCCCAAAGTCTTCCTGCCTGCCCGCCTGCCTGCCAAAACCTTCCAACCAAACAGAACCCTCTTCCCAAGCCTTCCTGCTTCTTGCAGCCCAACATCCGTGTCACTCAGGGTTGTCTCTGTATGTTAGTGCGGTGACGCTGCTTTGTGGTGAGCCGCTGTGGCACGACGACAGCCGGCCCGAGGTGCATGTAACCCAAGATATGGTCGACCGGGCCTAATTCCAAGCTCTGAGTCGGTGGCAGCTGACCTTAGCGCTGCGCTCATCCCGATACCTCCAATCAGGAGTCTGTTTTAGACCATCGAAATTCAAATCAAAAGTGTTCCAATGTAGTGAAAAGAGCAAAGTGTTGCGAAATAGAGTACATTTTAATTTGGACTTTTGAGATCTGAGTAATGTGATTTAATTGACTTGCTTTGTTTACTACAGTTGAAAACAGAATTGGTGAAGGCTAATTCATCCATAGGTACAGATATTTATGATGGTACACTGAAATCTCAGATACTTCATATTCAGACTGCAACTGTGTGTATCATCACAAGAGTTGTTGCAATCAATCCATTACGATGGCAAATACTTAAGGCCTACATTATTAACAATTACAACTACCGGTATATAGACTAATGATTGTGTTTTGCATTTGAACAGCATGTGTAATTCGTTTTATCCTATCACCGTGCACGTTATAATAACCGTCATACGGTAATGTTCTTGACAAAATGTTAAAAAAAATCTGGACATTCTGACAAATTGTTATGGACGTGAAGTTCTGTAGGTTGGCAGCTCTGGTAATGTGACGATGACGAATCTGCAGCATTAAACACTATGCCGGTGGTTTAAATTAGCCATTTCTGGCCCTGCATCCTCAGATGTTACGATAACGTGACAATGACACATCCGCTACTGAGCCATGAGGAGACTGAGGGCTGCAATAAAACAGTCCGCTGCAGCAAAGTGGAGACTGTGAAGTTGATTTATTTGGAGCTATATATCCTCAAATGTTACATTTCCATGCAGGGTAATCACCACGTGGCTGTTGTGTGGATAGCTGACACAGCTTTAGTGTCATTCGTGGTTTTGTGTGCTTCCCTGAATGTCCCGGGCGCAAGTTTGAAGGCCAAAATAGCTAGGCAGAGATGAGCAGAAGGGACTAAAGGGGGAGGTGAAGGAGTAATAAATCACGCTGCGATATTCTCTTCGCACCCGCCACCCCTTTGATTAATGACACGACACTTTAGGGCCTGTCAGCACGTCTAATTGGTGAGCATCAGTCATCATTAACTCGGGGCGAGACACCCGTGACCCTAACTTAACTGACCCCGCTTTCACCCAAAGCTGGTGGGGATGAAGTCAGGCAGGGGTTGTGAAAATCGTAGTGACTCCGCCAGCCCCACCAATTAAGGCCCCGCCACCGGGGTGAAATTGTAGGAAAATTTCCGATGACTGTCAGGTAAGTGTCAATCTGCACCCTGCCTTGTGCTCTTTGCCTTCCCTAGTGCTCCGTTTGTCACTTTACTTCTTATTATGTGATGCATTTTGACAGCGTATGTGATGAAGAAGCGTGTGATATTCATACGTACAGGTGCATCTCAATTTGTTTCAGTATCCTGGAAAACGTCATTTCAATAGTTCATTTCAAAATCAACCTGTCATCACTTGTGACGAAGTCCGTTTTCAGAGCTTTGTGATCAGGGAAGAAAACACACTCCTAACACAGGATAATCGCTCAGGGGGAATATTTTCGAGGTTTTGCTGTGCATTGTGTTTGAGAGGGAAAAAAATTTGGCTTTGCAGTAGCTTTGTTGAAAATTAGAAAATTAAAATTCACTCTTACAACAAGGCACACGACAGGATAATACGTCAGGATGATCTTTTGAAACGCATCCAATAATCTGACCTTCAATGACTTTGATCAGAAGGAATATCCTCAAATTGGTCTCGGTTATTGCTGTGTGCGTCCCCGGCTTTATTCACACACACATATATCATATGGAAGGTCATGCGTGACACACGCTTGAACTTAACCCCAGTTAACCCAAGGCAGGAAGGGAAGAATCTTCCAAATGTCATCTCTGGCCCCTTCAGCCATTAATGAATCCTTGAAAGCAAAGAGATAAAAATGAACAAATTGGGTAATGATTCGCACAAAACAGGTGGTGGGTGGTTGAAGAAAATGAACCAATCAGTCCTTGCTGCCTGCATTTATTCACTTGCTAATTAGAAACTGCCTTAGTTAATTATGATTGGGGCTCTTCTGAAGCAAGAATGGAAAAAGTGTGGGTGGGGGAGAGGGGCACTTCTCCTTGCCTGACAACAGAATTCATGCCAAGCTGCGTACTCAACAAACATCTTGGTCCTCATGTCAAACCTTTTCCCATGAGTCTCTCATTGAGATCGCATTTCATTTATGATGACAGAAATTAACTTGTCACTTTTTGGTTTTATTGATTGTAGTAAACCCCCATTTATCAAATGACATTCCAATCCCATACGCAATTGGTGAAAATATAAAATGAATTAAAAAAAATAAAATAAATCACCCACCCTAAATGCTTGAAACACATTAAACGCTCTAGACAAGCAAAAGAAAATTAGCATTGAGAATAGAAACCTCCAAACAACTGCTACTTTAGTACACAGAAAGTAGAAACACATACAACAATCTTCACAGGCCGTCCTTCTGCGGTACTGTTTTGTTTTTTGTTTTTTTGTTGTTGTTCCCTCTTCGTGTGACCGTCAAAGAGAAGTTGCAGAAGTTGCTCTGGCTTGTAATTGTTGGTCTTTCATGGGAACTTTGAGATATTTCTTTGGGTGACTTTATTCGGGAACGTCCCCCTGGCTCGTCCCAACAACATCTTGTAATTGCATTTTAATTGACAATTAAAACGGACCCATCAATCATTGCCCTGCTGTGGACACGCGCTTCTTTTGATTTAATGAAGCCGCCCCCCCCACCACCCCCTCAAAAAATAACAACAGGTTTCATCATGTCAGATCCAATCAACCCACGCTGCTTTATTAAAACATAAAGAGCAATAATTTATGCACCCAACATAACTTGTTTTTTTTCCCCCCTGTCCGAAAGCAAGAGGAATAATCCGATTTGGTTCTTCTTAGATGTGCATTTAGGCTAAACAATTGAAGGCTAATGGAGGATGACTAATAGTGAATGAATAGAAGCTGGGGGCAACTTGCATTTGGGAGTGTATCAAAGTGCTGGAAGCGAAAGCGCACACACTTTTCATTCGTCGTCTTTTTTTAGTTAACAGACCCGATTGTGAATCGACCTCCCACGTCTTTGTTTTATGGAGTTTGATCTGTAAATTTCTCCTGCTGGGCTACTTTTTGTTCTCTCAGCGTACTTCTAAGAGGCTGCCCGATAAGAGCTACGAGCAGGCAAGCTCATATCACTTAAGAATCAACTGCCGTACAAACCTGCTGACATTTGTTGGTTAACAAGAAAGTTAATTAAATGTAATGAATGAGTGTTTTTGTTTGGGCAAGTCAATAGTAGCTGTATAAAAACATTTCAGCGAAATCCTGGCTTTCAGAGTTCACAAAATGAATACAGTACATTTTTTTTTTTTTTTTTTTTTTTAATGCGGCAGCACGGTAGTCGAATAGTTCATGACAGTTCTAAGGTTAAGGGTTAAAATATTGGGTCAAATGGTGAATGTTGATACTATATGTGCCCTGTGAGTGGCTAGCAACCAGTCTGCCTCCGCTGCCAAAAGTCATCCTGGAAAATCTCCAGCTCACCCTTGACTGTAATGAGGACAAAAAGCACGAGAATGGCTGAGTGTACATATTTATTGGGTTCAAATTTCCTATCATTTTGGAATTGTCATCTTTTCCATACACTCTTAAAATTGAGAATTTTTTTAAATTTGGAGAAATAGCTAACCCAGCACCAAAAGAGACTGAAGCAATGCTGGGTTATATATACCCACTGCATCGTGTAGAGCAAGGGTGTCAAACATACGGCCCGCGGGCCTGAACCAGCCCCCAAGGAGGTTCGATCAGGCCCGCAGCATAATTTAAAAGTGAAAAAATACATAAGACACGGAATGAATAGTTTGAATAAGCTGCAATTCATTCATCATCCGCTAGAGGAACACAGTTTTGAGCAGAGTATAAGACAACATTGTTTTGATCAGAGAAGAAGACAACAGCAGTCTCAGTCTGTCACTGAGACAGACCCAACACAGCTTTAAAAGCCAGCTAACGAATTGCTAGCGAAATAGCATTAGCATCAAAGCCGTCATTTCGCCAAGTGTTTTGTAAAAGATATGTTCATTAAATTTCAACATTTTCCGAATGTTCTTGTGCTTCTTTCTACCAAAACAAAGGAAAGACATTATATTTTGGTGATTTATAGCAGAGTATGGTATAATTTTAATGGGCCGGCCCACTTGACAAAGACCGAGGCCGTATGTGGCCCACAATGTGAAATGAGTTTGACACCCCTGGTGTAGAGGATTTCACCCAGCACATTGAGTCAACAAGGGGTAATGTTATTTTGGTACTCTCTTAGCAGAAACTGGGCTCAAAAAAATGGCCACTCAATGGACGCTGTGCATTTAACTTTCCTCTCATGGTACCATACTTAGGTAGCCTTTCAGGGGGTGCTAGAAAGTGCGATGGATCAGTTATTTTGGTACTCTCTTAGCAGAAATTGGGCTTACGCGGTGTAAAGTGGATTCATTTATTCCGAATTCAGACGACAAGTAGCAGGTTTACTAATTTTATGACGTTATTTGTTATGACAATGCCAAATGATCAGAACCAGAGGCACAGAAGGGCACCTCAATGCCACATTGGCCATGACAGAATGTGTCACCATATTTGCACGTATTCCCCTATTCGTCTATCTGCTTTGTTTGTATGCTGATTTTAGATTTTGTGTTTGTGCAGACGGAGGACGGAGAAGAGGAAAATCCACTGGAAAGCTCGTCCTCTCTGGAGCTGGAGTTCGTGGACGATCCTAATTTCAAAAACAAGGTCAACTACTCATCCAGCGCCGTGCAGATTCCAACCGACATCTACAAAGGCTGTAAGCATCCAAGCACTTGTTATTAGTGCTCTGCTCGTCGCTTTGATGGAGCTGGCCTGACTTTTAACTCCGTTCATTAATATTAAATTGCTCTGCTGTGTCATGGTGAAGAGAGATGCTAATCATAATGTTGACTTCCTTGCTTGTGAATTAACCTGCGGGGTTAAAAATGATAAATGCGCTGCATGACTTCTGCCATACTGTTTTTTATGAGGCCACATGTACACGGTTAGTCTAAGTGCTTTCCCAATTACCTATTCGAATTGAACAAACACTCACAACAACAAATCATCATTCTGAGCTACTTGCTACTTAAATACAATCAAATTCAAACTACCTGGCACATAGAGTATCACCAACCAGCTCCCAATTACAAATTACTACCTACAGCCAATTGGTTACAAAAAAAGAAAAAGGGCCCTATTTTTGTAGACGGGCACCCGTGTGCTAGGCATAAAAATGAGCGTAACTTCATTTCCATGATAGCGCAAGTCTAGTCTAGCGTGTTTGGAGTTGTGTTGCCACTATTGTTATATAATCTCGCTGTATCTGTATCGGTTTCGCAAATATAAGTTGTTTCAAAGATTGGAATTGTTTTGACATTGATGCGCGATTAATTAGCCCGTCTGAGGCGTTTTGCATAATATTGTGTGAGCATTAAGCTCAATAGACTTATCGAGAGAAAGTGTAAATACACAAACTGTAATTATCCTTGGTGTAAGTTCAGTTTTAAATTAAACTTAAACTGGGAGCAGCAATAAATAGCTTAAAGAAGGCACTTTTTTGAAGAATTGTTCATTATCTGGCAAATTGCTGCTTGGTGTGAAGTTAGCTGCCTCCACAGCATGTGCTCGTAGCTGAAACTTAAAAAAAAATGTCTGAAAAACTTGTAAGATGAAGTAACACTTTACGAGCAACCCCCCCCTCCCCCCAGTTCGAGGTCGCTAGCTACTACCTACAAGTTACTACCTAATATAGCCTCAAAATGCGCATCCTGTGAACATTATGTGCAGCCCAGGACACATTTACATTATATTTGTATTCTAATCAATACAGCAACACTTGTTTAATCACTGAGGGAAATGCTTACGTTGTTGAATTAATGCTGTCGTAAGCACCAGCAGGGTACAACCAGAATGGCTCTTCACTCCTCAGATAATGGTGAACGTTAGCTTAGCTTTAGCCGACCGCCCTTTCTGCGTATTAACATGATTGTAGGTGACGTGCTCTCGCTCACACTTGCGCTTCATAGACATGGGCTCCCCCTTGTCACATTGATGCCCCTGCCTTTTGATGCAGCTGCCAAATGGACAAAAGGCAACACTTCCACCTGTCTGTTATCAACTTTCAACCTTTTTTTTATCACAAAGGAAAAAAAGACAGAGAACATGCAGACTGACAGTCATTTTCGTCCTGTCGTTTTGCCTTTGTCCGGGTCGTTGCCATCTTTGTGAAACAGGAACATACGGCACCTGTCTGTAACAATGCCCCCCAGCTGTGTCTCCAGACACAACTTGTCAGAATGAGACAGTCACCGAGCAGGCGGTGATTGGGGGGGAATGTCAGAGGCCGCGTCTAACTCACAATAGAGCAATCAGGCCTACACATTGTTCCCGGAGCCATTTTGTGGCAGCTCTCCGCTTCCGCCAACTGAAGATATGAGTTGGAGAATAAAGGCCTTTTGATTGAGCCTGCTGGTGACTTCAGGACCGGAGCGCTGCAGCGCATGGAATTGGTGCTTTGCTTCTCCACGGAAGCAAAGTATATTTACGATGAATGTAGTTTGCTGTGCTCCCGTCGGGAGCCTCTGCTGTGCTGCGATTGTTAATTGGAGAGTAGGGTATGGGCCAAGTCCATTATGAAGAGGTGTGCTCGGGTTTAGGTGTTTTCAGGACTGAAATAGTCATGGGAAAAAAACAGGCTTTACAGAAAGTCCCAGATTTCAACAAAACAACAATAGGTTTCAACGTGTTACCTATTAACCCATTTAATCCCACCGGTCACATTTGTGAAGGACAACAATGATTTAATTTACAGGGCTCTAAAAATTTTTATGACTGATTACTTAAAAGGGCTACCAATGATTTTGACTTTTAAATGTCTGGGAAAAAATTGGGATTAAATGGGTTAGATTAATGATTCCACAGTTTAAAATGATTTTTGAATTTGGGGATCTGCATTAAACTTGTAAAAATCCGACATCAATACAAAAATGGCAAACTGAAGTGCCAAAATTGCATGGTTGTGCCTGAGTCTGAATGCTTGTTTATCGACATGTGCCCTGCAATTGGCTTGTAACCTTCCCATGATCCACCCAAAGTCAGCTAGGATAGGCCTCAGTTTACCTACAAGCTCAATGAGGATGAGATACGTATCATCTATAAAACACTCATTTGGCAAAACCCTGCCCTTTCATCTCTTTCTGCTCACTGTGCATCCCACCACACGCACACTCAGTTCGAGGAATTACTCTTGATTCTTAAAGTCTGCAATATTGTTAGTCATACGTCTGCAATATTCTGCCAAAAACAACTGTAGTACTTGAAAACAAGTAATAAAATTAACCTCATTCATTTTTGTAGCATTGTTTGAAAAGTTAGCTATACAGTAGCACTTTTGGTTCAATTTAGCTGTTAAAAAAACAAAAAAACTTTAAAAAAATTTATTAATGCATTTTTTTAAAAATCAAGATGTTCATTTCAGTTGTGAATTTATGTCTGTTGAGTTGCGGTGTGTAAATGAACTGCTTTCCGGCACACAGCAATATGAATTACGGGTCGCGGGCAAATGGATGAGAGTGGCAATGGCCACAGGGAGCGAGGGAGGGAGGTAGCGATTGAGAAAAAGATAGAAGGAAGTGAAGTGAGAGAGTGAAACCGATGAGACACTTCAATAATAGAAACCATTTAGAGCAAGGGAATTTTGCCCCCCCCCCTCCTTTTTCTTTCATTGTGATCCTTCCAGAAGCTAAATGAGGCGGCGTACGCGTCCTGGTTTGATTTGTTTGCCAGGCCCTGTGTCCATTTATTGAGACGGAGAGTGTTCCCTGAGCGCAGTAATGAACCATTTTATGATTCATTATCCCGCCGCTCATTCCCGCTGCCGAGCCTGCAAACTTTCTAATTAGCTCGGGTCAAACATTCATAGTTTCCTTCTCGTCTTGTTTGCTCTCGACGGAGTGGACGCGGCGACGATAGATAATGCGAATGCAATGAACGGCTTTTATTTGCCCCGTGTGATTGTTAACAGACGCGGCCAGACTACAGACAAGTGCTCTCCTAATATCATCTTGAAAATAATCATTGTGTAAATGAAGAACAATCACTCGGTTTCCTTATTATTCTGCTGCTTGTTTTTACTGCCATTATAGCCAAAACTCGATTGGGCGCTTGAGCTATTTCCTTATTTCTCTGCCCAAACACTGATTAGACCCAAAATATTGAAAGTGTTTCAATAAGAAAAATCGTCGCCTCCAGCCACATATTAGTGTTTAATTGAATAGCTCTGACGTTCTTCGCGATAAAGCTCACAGTTTCGAGTGCAGCGAGTCTGAAAGTGTGGTGGTGATACACAGGCACCCTTAAGTGGTACACGAAATAATCTCTACAATTAAAAAAATATATACAATTTGCATCATTTCAAACATGAAATACAATCAAATACAGTATTTTAAAGGTTGTGTCTACAGCCTATATAAACTTTAATTTTCATGCACAGTATATTTTGAAATACAGTTCGGTTGTATTTAACTTTTAAGTATAAACAACCATAGCCTGATTACCCGCGAGTGTGAGCAAGAGCCGACGCCAGCTGACTTTTGGCAAGAGAAGTCAAATGCACCGTGGACCGGTCACCATTCAATCATTACTCAAACGACACGGCTGAACAGAAGCGACACTTTTTCGTCCGCATGCAATTGCTGCTGACTATCATCTTCAAAAATATTGAAAAGGTCAACTTTAATTGCAGAGTACATTCAGTAAAATTGTGTCATTGTCAGTTTTGCCCTCCTTTTTTGTTAGAGAGGATTTACTCTGTGGTGCGTGCGTGCGTGCGTGTGTGTGCAGTCGTGGTAGTGCACGACTACATGAATGTTTTATATGACAATAAGCAGTCACAGCTCTCTGCGGGGAATAATGAGAGGCCCCGATTGGGTGCGAGAAGTCCTTTCATTAAACGCGAAGTCTAAATCCGCTGCGTGCGGCGCCCTTTCCAGCAGCACAATACAATATGTCATGCTGTCACTTTGCCAGCGCGACAATCGACGCGGTTATCGGAAAAGCACCGACAACTGCAAAATGTGCCTACAAGAAAGCAAGCTTATACACATGAGCTATTAAGGCTTATTTCCATATGTACTGCTATGCATTCGTTAATTTGTGCTTAGTACCCAGTAAAGTCACAATACAGGTGCATCTCAATAAATTTGAATCTTGTGGGAGAATGTGCTTTCGTTCAATTCAAACAGTGAAGCTTTTGCAGAGGTGCCTGCAGATACGAATGACTTGATTTACGAATTTGTTTGGACGATTCTTGTGTATGTAAAATACGCACATGGCTTTGCTTTAGATCAGTCAATTTAGCTTAATGCTAACTAACACATGATAGGAAACACTATTCTGGGACGAACGAATAGCGTCCGTCTCACGGTATTATAACCCTTTAAGCAAGGCATATATAGAGCAACACATGCAGGCAGAAAATAACTCACAGGGATAGATATTTAGACATATTATATAGCGATCAGGAAATCTTCCCGGTTATCTTTGGAGACAACAGTGGATATTCATTACATTGGAGTCAATGCCGGATTATCTTGGGGGGGAAATCAACCTCGACATGTCACAATGTGTCACGAGTCGGCCGCAATGTCTCTGTGGGGACAAAAATGAGTTTTTTGGGGGGCACTGCAAAACGTCAGCCTTGTTTCTTAAAAGGAACCGTGATAATGAGAGGAGTTTGTGTGCTGGCTGGCAGTGTCTATTTGTTCGGCACGCCGC